GGTCTCCATGATGCATGAAGCGGGGCACAGTGATCTGGCACGGGGCTGGTTACCTTTCATTCTTCTGCAGAACACACACCTTCACGGTGGGATGTAACCTTGCACTGAACGTGTTTGTTTTTGTAGCCTACCAACAAGGCACAGTTTACCCTCCCTTTGCAATATTTACATTCAAACAGTGCTGCAGATGGATGGAGGATCCCGGTGCAGGGCCTGCCTGCATGGGCATCCACTTGGCATGATGATACAGCTAGCTGGTGCAAGCGTAACGTTAGCCAACTGACAACTGACAGCTTGCGCGTATGGCACGGTGCAAGCGTCGCATTTAAAGTTTAAAAGGACACCGAGATACGGCGCCAGCCGCGTTTTACCTCGGGATGCAGTTCGGGGACGATCCGTCTATCTCCCACGTTGCAAACAGGTTCATGGGAACCGGTCTGTTGAGAGCCCCGCTCCCGGGGAAACTCAGCCGGCCGCTTCTTTCCGCCATGGTCCGAGCTGCTGGTGGGACTATCCGACACCAAGCTGGGGGGGTTGGAAACAGCAGACCGGTGCAGGTCCTCTGTATACGCGTGTGTTTCCGTGAAAAAGAGCCGTTACGCACTCACGTTAATGCAGTGCAGACGGCGGAGGACGAGCTCATTTCTCCGGTGTGGTCCTCTGTGCCAGGGAGGGACTGCAGCGGAGCCACCGCTGAGCTTGTTGTGCCTACCACGCTGCTCTGAGTGTATGGAGGGCGATTCATGCCGCCCTGTTGCGGGAGGGAGGGGAACGTTTTACCCACTCACACACTTATTCACAGCATTCATTGCATTGTGTTTTTGTTTTTGCACCAGATAATAAAATGTGTCTTGTAAAGGAAAAGCATGTATGATATGACACATATGATGCCAGCTATATGATAAAACTGTGGTAAGAGAGCATGCACTTGTATAACTGCATGTTAATGTAAATATTTAATCAACCAATCAGATGGGAGTAACTCAGTGCTTTTACCAGGGGGCCCTAGTTGCTGAGGTGGGGTGGAGTGAGTGGGAGAGACTACCTAAGGACAGACAGTGGCAGGAGTCCTCCAAAGCCTGTTTTGTTTGCAGTTTTGCATTTCCATATTTAGAGATACAGATTTGAAATCCACCAGCCTGCTGGGCCTTTTCTCTGTGGAGTTGTATGTTAGGTTAACTAGATAAGTGGAAAAGGATGGATGGAAACAGATGGTAAAATGGTTTAGTCCACCCCACAGTTGGACTCATCTTTGCAGTACAGTAAATTTATTTAATATGCACCACGAGTCGTGTCTTTCTCCAAAAAAGCAAAATCAGTGTATCTATAAACAAAAGGAAATTAAATCTATCAGCAGCTGTTAAACCCAGTACACCAACTTCAGATAGAACACTATAACTATCACAACCTTACATCACGAAACCCTCCAACTGATGTGAAACCATAAAAGCTCAAATAGTGGCGTAGTGGCAGTTATTCAGACTGATGAAACAGCATTTTGTAATACCACAGTGACACTGTTTATTTAAAAAGGAAAGTGTTAGGATGTTACTTATACAGCAAGAGATGTGTGTTATTTAGTTTTTTTCAGTTCTAATGACACATTTGGATGGTAGGGCCAGAATTAGACATAAACAAGATGAATACCTAATAAAGTAAGTGTTTATTACCATATAACAAAGACCATTTCCTTGAAGGCAAAACGAGTGTCTGAGTATCATACTTCCTCCACTGAGAGACTCAATGAGCTTTATTACTGCAAAGATACTGCAGTGGTAAGAAAGCATACAGCTTTTAGTATCTCACTAAGATGAAGTCATTATATGCAAAACCTTTGTTTTTGTTTTTGTTTTTAAAATATGGCATTAATTTCCTTCTATAAGTCTGGCACTTAAATTTGACTGCCTTTGCATTCATTGCGCTTCAACAGGGCATTAATTATCCCTCATATATTTCTCTCCAGAACAAAACGTCACCGCAGGACTTCCTTCCCTGCAGTGGCAGGTAGAGTGATACCTGAGTGATACAACAATAACAACAACAAAGCTTTGCTGTGAGAGCAGCTGGGGGTGGAGCTACATTGAACTACAGATAGATAATCATATATATATATATATATATATA